GCCGCGCGCCGCGGCGGCGCACGGGTCGCGGCCGGCGGCGGCGCGGGCGGCGGCGCGGGCGGGGGCGAGGAGGGTTTCGTGCTGAAGAGGGTCCTAGGGTCCCGCGGGGCGGCCGTCCGGCTGTCGGGCGTGCGCGAGGGCTACTTTGGTGCCTTGCTGCGCGAGCGGGCGCGCGGCCTGCGGGCGCGCCTGGCCACGCCCTCAACAGGAGGCGGCGGCAGCGGCGGCGGGCCGGCCGGGGGCGAAGGGAGCGGCGGCGGGGGCGGTTTGAGCATTGCTGAGTTGCTGGAGGGTCACGACCACATAGTGGGCTTCGAGGACAGTTTCGAGGTCGCGGGAGACGTGTGGCTCGTTTTCAGGGTGCGCGGGGCTGTGCCTGACCCCGGCGGGCGCCCTGTGGCTGCGGAGAGGCGAGCGTCCCGCTTGCACGCACAGAGACGGGGCGCGGCGCGGCGGCCGGCGGCGGCGGCATGCCCCTGGGCGTTGTACCTGGGACCCCTGCCGCCGCCGCGCGTGCGGGCTGCTGCAGCACCTCATCCCCCACACCCCTGATTCCGCACCCTCTGCTGCACCCCCTGCTGCAACGCCTTGGCGTCCCCCCCTGCCCTGCCCAACCACCACAGGACGCCGGCCGCTCCCTCCACAGCCTGATGTACGAGGCCCTCGGCCCCAGCCCTGTGGACACGCCGACCGCCCCCGCGGGCCGCCACCAGCCACAACACGAGCAGCAACAGCAGCAGCAGCAGGAGCCTGCCGGCTTTGCCGGCCGCGGCAAGCGCGCCGGCGCCGGGGAAGCAGGGAACGGCGAGCAGCAGCAGCAGCAGCAGCAGCGGCAGCAGCAGCAGCCAGAGGGCCTCGCCGTCGTCGGCCCCAGCCGCTGGTGGCTCCGCGTCCGCGCCGGCCCCGACGGCGACGCCTTCGTCCGCGGCGTCACGCGCCAGCTGCTGCTCGCGCTCGCGGCCGCGCACGCGGCCGGCGTGACGCACAGGGATGTCAAGCCGGAGAACCTCCTCGTGACGTTTGGCGCGGCGCCGCGGGGCCGCCGCTTCGACGACGCCGGCGCGCCGGCGGGGCCGCCCGCGGGCGGCCCCGCGCGGGACGGGCCAGGCGGCTCCGGCGGGGCCGGCGGCGCGGGGCACGGC